TACTCATGATGAAGAAAAGACTAGTTTCCAAAACAAAATTTGAACTGAACTTCACATTCAAATGAGCAAATGCTGGACCTACTCTAAACTAGCAGTGCTTGCAATGCTTAACCTTCAGTCATTGTTCGACCACAATTCTTATTGCTGGTCCAACTAGAATTAATGAAAGTAGGAGTCTGATAATGACTGGAGAAATATACTTGTGTACTTGTTATGCATTCTTTTTCAAACTGTTACTCTCATATATGAAGAACAAAAATAAGAACAATATGACTATATTATAATATTGCTATATTATTATATCAGGGGTAGGATATAAGCACTACATTTCAAAACATTAAAGTATTTCAACCTTGAAGCAAGATGAATTTGTGTTCCATAGCTTGAGGAAAAATAGTTCTGTCCTATCTTCAAAAGAAGGCAGTTAGACTGCTCTGGCTGTGCCAATATTATGAATATGCTGTTTTCTCCCTCAAAATGTTTCTAGTTTAACCAATAGAGCAGTAGGGGACTGGCCCCATCCCTGCCATTATTGGCTGATATTGGCAAAGGTGATAAAGGAAGAACACATGTTAGTTATAACAAACACCAACCCATCTATTTTTGTAATCTTGGAATGAATAAAGAGGGCACTATTTTTATAAATGAGCATTATTTGCTGAGCCAGTTAGTCTCCTCAAGGGAGATCCAACATGGACATGTACCAATGGAAGATTTTGGATGAGGCTGTTTTGCCTCAAACTCAAAACAAAGCCAGTTTCTGTTTCGTTCCAATCCTTATAAAAAAGTCTTCCTTTTTATATTTAGCTCTCCCCAGTCTATACAAAAGCATGAAGATGGGGTATTAATTAAAATAACAAGAGGCAAGAAGAGGGGCTTGCATTTCATCGTGTTTTTTTCTTATTAAACTTTAGCCTCTGCTTTCTATGAAACTTGAGGCAAAAAAATAACTCAAAACAATCAGATTTGCCACCAACATGTCTAGAGTGGCTTTTCAGAAGATCACTGAGACCTGTCAGTTTCCTCAGGTATTAGGGCAGGATGTTAAGGCAGCCCTATATCTGTTAGCCAAAGTTATGTATTGAAAATGGGGGAGGCAAACAAATATATTAATGCCTTTTTTTGCATCAGCACATTTACAGTATTATATAGAAAACCAGTGGCAAAATTCAGCCACAAATATTCTACAAAGACACTTGTTCTTCACTTAAAATTTCAGCTTACCATTATGAACGGCCCACATGATCCGGAAAGCAGGACCACCAATCTCATCGAAAGGTTTTCTGCGAGTAATTACCTCCCAAAGAATAATACCCCAGCTGAATACATCACATTTTTCACTGTAATTGCTACCTGAAAAGGATCATTTATACATTTTTTTAAAAAAAACCTAACAAGATTATAGGTGTTCTCTTAATTATAATAAAAAAGTAAATTAATCTGTTTGTAACCAATTTTATAACTGATTCTTCAATATACTATAAAACAGGTTGATTTAAACATGTGCTTTCTAACAGAATACAGATGGTGTGAATCCAGTGACTTACATATTCATGCACATGTTGTTCAATGAAAAACCATCTCTATTTTTCTTCAATTGCACAATGTGTTTCATAGCATCAAACCTCAAAGTACAAGAAGAGAGGAACTTTATGATCATATGTGACTGATTGCCACTACAACCCTGTTTTATAGTAATACTGAATGCAATACCCCTTATACAACTTTCACTTGATTTAAATTTTACATCAATTAACTTATTAATAAAAAAATGTTGGAAAAATGTTGATTTCAAATATCTTATTTGATATTTTATAGTATTTCTTTTTAGTTTTCTGGTATAAGAATTGAATTTTTCTTAGTAAGAATATTACTTGTTTGAAACAAACCGGAAAAAATATATTTACTTTTTAGAATTTAGCCAAAGGCACTTCAGTGCTAATGAAAGTTTGTAATTCAATAGTTTTGAGCAAGTATAATATTTTTATTCAATGACTATAGGGCTACATACATGTGTACATTACAACAGAAACAGATTCAATACTTCATATATAAGTCATTCTATTCCAATTATATACTTTAAATTAGGATTCTTAAACTGCATTAATTTAAATGGTAATCTTTCAACAATTTAAGTCACATCATAACTAGACAGTTGACTGTGTCTTTTCTAATGGCTTCTGAAATACCTTTATAGACAACAGGGAAAAGTTCATCTGCACCAAATGAATCTCTGTACCAAAATTACTACAAAAATTACTAATGCTCATAATACACGAGAATGGTAGTAAGTTTCAAATTACTTTGTTACCTTCAAAAACTTCAGGTGCCATCCAAGCAGCACTGCCCTTATTATTGGTCATGTGAGTCTGAATATCACAAGCTGTACCAAAATCACATATTTTTAAAACAGTCCCTCCTGCCACCAAGAGCAAACTGTAAATCAAATAGAATTTAATTACAGTATGTATTTTGCCAACAGAAATAGAGAAAATATTCTCTAAGCAATTTATGCACAGTGTCTGTAGATTTAATATACAAAAGTGAAAAGTAAGACTTTTACTGTAGTAATTAAAAACAATATATTTCTTTTTAAAGGGCATAAATAGACAATCTTTGTTAGTAATTTGTAAAAAAAAAAGTCAGAAAAGTGAATTTGGGAAAACAGAGGTCAACACTGAAAAAATTACCTTGTGCTTTAGTGTCATAAGAGAAGGGGATTTTTATTCTATTGTGCAACATAATCAAATTGAATGGAGCTAAATTATACCCATTTGTTACTGAATGCAAAAACAAGTAACTGCAATGTATCAAGATCAAGACTGATTTTATAGGAACAACTATTTTTCTCCATATCTAGTTTTAACCATTCATTCAAGAAAATGTATATGCTGCCCAACTCATTCTCAGTGATTCTGGCTGGCTTAGATATAAAAAAATAAAAAAACAATATAAAAACAATAAAAAAGCAATATCCCCCTTTCAGTGAGAACACCCCACCCGGCGACAATGAGTCATTTGATAGGTCCATCCCACTCTGTTTAAAAGAATAATTTCATATTTTATTTTACCCTGCTTTTAATTTGGTGAGCGACACAAAAAATATGTCCAAGTGATTTATCCGAGTACTAAATATAATAATAAAAATGTATTTCACAAACAAGGTAACTTTGCTTAACAGATCAGATGCCCATTGTTTTTAACAATCCAGGCCAAAGTATAAACCTGAACTTTATCATAGTGTTTCCTTTGTAACTAATTCCTCCTTTCATATTTTAACTGAAAGACTGCCAGCTTGAATCTAAGTCTAATACATCAGTGTTATTAATTTTAATCACAATATTATAAAGTAACAAGCATTAGGTCTCTTGCAGTTATTACAGCTGATTATCAAGTTTATCAAAGGTTAGTGATAGTGAGACGGGCAGCATATAAATTTCATAAAAAAATTAAAAATTATACCCTTGAGTGCTGGTAAAATATAGCAGAATATTTACATAACATTCAAATAACTTATATTGCATCTGAGAATTACTATTACAGACTACAATGTTCTCTAGGCTTATTAGAAAAACGCCTTTAAGTGCCTTACAGAGTTCTTGAAAACCTACTTTGGTGGTTTTAGGTCCCTGTGAATGAGTGCTTTCGGTTTCATGCTGTGAAGGTATGCTACTCCTTGGGAACATTGTAAACACCAACTCATTGCATGTGCAGCAGTATAATAAGGTAGAGGCTCAGCACCATGTAGGACTGAAAAACAAAGATACAAACTAAAAAGAATTTTATTGTACATTACAGGAGACATAAAATGGGAATGTTACTTCTGAAATGTGCTCCAGGACTTACAAAGTACACAACAGAAGTTATTTTTGTTCCTATGCTTCTATAACAAAAATCTTGGATGCACCCATTCAGAGACCTCCAAACGTTGTTACAAATTGTAATGTTCAGTATGACTAAAAGGGAAAATGATTAAATGTGTGACCAGAAATATAATCTGTTTATATATATAAAAAAGAAAGAAAAAAAATCTTAACAATATAGGTAAATATTTAATTTCTGACTTCCCCCTTCTTTGTATTCCAACTAATTTGCAATATCTGTTGAGCATGTTAATAATATTTGAATTTTTTTTGTCTCAATCTCATTTGCTGCTGAGTCATCACTACAATGCCCATCAGCCTGTCAACCCCAATAGGAAAAAAAAATGGTCAGTTTTATTTTAAAGGAATTGTTACAACCTGAATTGGGTAAAAATCTAAATCTATCCATCTATCAATTCATCCAGTGTACCACTTGCTGCATCAGCCAGTCCATGATGCTTAACAAAAGCTGTAAGTGTAACAATAAATTTCAACCCAAAACAGTCAGTGTCATTAAATTATTATAATAAATAAGAAAGTTATACAATAATGCATTAACATAAAATGAGATGGCAAAACTTTAGGCAGTTTTCTGGACAATGCAGTTCAAAAATGATGCTCACCATTATAGAGAGAACCTCCTTCAGCATATTCCATTACGAGACATACCTAATGAGGAAAAAAGCAGAAGCAAAGTTAGAAGACCAATTTATTATTTTTTTAATATGAAAGAAGTATTTAGAACAAGGATTTTTATGAAATGCTCCCATCTTATTTTAATAATATATAATTCTGTTTTACTCCCGAGACTGTGCAGAAACAACTACATGTACAGATTTGGTCAGAGCTGTAATTGTTTCTTTTTTTCTTCTTCTTTTCTGCTTTATTCAAGTACATAATTGCATATGCACATTAACGCATATTAAAAATCCTGATAATACTCTTGTGATCATCTACAATATGTTTCGATCATTAACATTTATGCATGCTGATTAAGAAATAAATTTTAGAAGCTCTTCATTTAATTTAGAACCAGAATAGAGTAGCGAAACACTGATCAATAAATCTGTAGAACAAAGGTGGAATGGAAACTGGAAACCTGTATATTTCAAACTGAATGCAAAAGGTCTGCTTTTCTCCTAAATGAAAAACTCAACTTAGAATATGTAAATAAGCCAAATAAAAATAAAACAGGCACAGCTATTTCACTTAAATAAAGAGACTGTGGAGTCCAAAAGTTGCTACTTACTGGATTTAAACAAGCTCCATATAACTTGACGATATTTGGATGGTTCACACGTGACAACTGTCGAAGCTGAAATTTTAAAAAGCAATGTATTTAAAATTCTCTTACATAAAACTTTTCTTTATATAAATGATCATAAAAAGCAGTTTAATGA